GTAAAATCAGGAACTTCGACCTACGGTAAATCGATATGTGCTCTTCGTTCCAGTAATTGATACTCTGATCTTCAAAGTAGTCTCTTTAATAACTATTTCGGGATTTTCCGATATTGTAGTCCTACCAGGGGAAATCCCTGCAGTGAAACGGCTGTTCGTGCTGAAGGAATGTTTTTTGAGCACAAGAGCCTTGTTATGACGTTATGACCTTTTGACAATATTCGAAGTACCTCACAGCTGATACGAGGCAGTCGTCGCTCTGAAACTCGAGCGATTATCATGACATGCTTGTTGTGCGTAAAATCCCGATAACCCCAGGAATTCAGATACTGTATGTTTTCCATCAAAACGGAAAATCTCGTGAGATTTCATCTTGTAGGCGCGAAAGGTCTGTGTAGCCCGCTAAAAGTACTGTAGATGATCTCTTAGATATTTCGCCTGGAAGATGAGTTCGCAAATTCTGTACTTGTTCACACTCCGATTCACGAATCACAACCAATATGACTCGAGTATATTGAGCATACACATAATGATATGTTGGATTTTGGATGCGATAGGAATCATTTAGATTTCATTCTCGCGTTTTTTGTTTTGTTTTGTTTTCCTGTACAGTACTTCGCAAGCGTGCGGTGTTAAATCGAGTAGGAATCATGAATACAAATGGAAAATTGGATTCGCAGTTTAAAAGAGTCAAAGTTCATGGGTAAACATTTTTATGACTACAGTTGCAGCGAGAAATTTCATCTGGCGTCAAGTCAGCGCTGAATTACGAACCAGATCAACAACAACAAAAGCTTTCACAAAAGGCAGTTGCCAGTTGATTTTTGTGAATAAGATTTTTTTTTACGGTTGAAAAGGAACATTCTAGTAGCATGCCCTTCGAAAAGATAAGATTCACTCAGCCTTTCCCTGACGATCCTGTTACCATGAATGCCAGGAATAACACCAGTGTTTTTTTTTTCTGTGATGAAGACTGGACTATCCGGGAATCAGATCTTACCCATGATTCCCATCAGCTCAATAATTTTCCTCGAAAAAAAATTACAGGCAGGTGGCATCAAGCTCATACACGCAGCTGCCCGTGGTCTCCTCATATTTGAAAATTGAATGACATTCGTAAGCCAGTGGCGATATCCCATGTACAGTAAATTTCAGGTATCGATATGTTGCTGTCTCATTAAGGCATGCATAGTAAACAATAAAGGAAAATTTAGATAAATATCTTCCTAAAATGAAACCATCTATAATCGTGAGATACATATGCGAGTATATGCTCCCTTTCATGACATCCAATATCTAATAGCTCCGGGGAAAATCGCTGATCGAAGACAGAAATTTTGAGCATTTTGCGACGCTTTTGTTGCTCGGGAACTTTTGAAGGAAAATATTCGATACAGTTCTTTCATTTTTGAGAAGCCCTGTTTTTGTTTTTGTTGTTGTTTATGTAATGAGACCCAGTCACCAGCATAATTTTGAGACGCAGCTGTGAATACGAGACCTAATAAAAAGTAGGTATCTCCGTTTCCTATTGTTTAATTTATCTAAATTTAAAAATGAACGATTGTTGCAATTTAGGAGATTGTCTTCTCCTAATCCTCCAGACCGCAGCTAAATGCTTTCACTTCAGCTTTCATTTTACATTTATCTCAACTTTTGACTTCCCACCAAACACTAATACTTTAGCCCCGTTCAAGAAATATCCGATGTGCTTTCCAACGGTAATTCTGTAATTCCCTTTCTATTTTTATTTTTATGTGAATATTTTACTTCGAGTGGATTTTAAAAAATAGTTTACCTTGCGACAGAAATGTACAAGATGCAATCGAAGAATACCTCCAAAGAATACCTGTACACACTATTTGATATCAGTGCCAAACTGCTGGAACGAGCTTCTGATATTCAAGCGAATCACGATGTGCACTCATCCCTACATTATATGAGTACTCTCCAAGCGTTTTTAATAGTCCGAACTAGTTTTTATCGTTGTGTGATGAAAACGACAAGCTAATATTTTGAAATCTCCGAAATTTCGTCATTCCAGGCTTGAAAGGTAAATACCGTAAGTATCCTTGTGCAACTAGATCAATATTTAAAAACCAAATTTTAAAAAGGCCTGGTGATTTTTAGGCAGTCTCAGAAAGATCCGGGATTAAGCAGGACATATTTCCTGTTGCGAATTCATCCTGTAACACTTTTTTTTTAATAAATCCGCTACTGACTCTCAGTGAAACATCTTGTTTTTATACTAGCGTTTTCTGTATTCACTCTTCCGTAAGAACAGAATTGGGCAGAAAAATGTTCACATACATAACCTCTGCGCAGTATAAGAAATAAAAGTAGCTTTTGGAGATTCTTCAACCGATCCCTACCTTATCTGGCACAGGTTTTCCATACGGGGGCTCGCTGTAAAACAATTGAGGGGACCAAAAGACAATTCGTTGTAGAGAGCCTCTATAGAGTGGGTGAAGATCATTATGGGACCAAAACAATTCGTTATACAGAGAAAATCGTTGCAGAGAGAGAATCTACCGTTTTTTTTTTAAGTGCAGTATCAGAAGCGCGAAGATGTTTCAATCATCTGGAATATGTTGGAAAACTCCATGTCTCACAGCAAATGAAACCGCAACCAACTTTCGTGACAAACTATTCTTTCTTTCTCACCAAAAAAAAAAAAAACAACTGCACGATGATCTAGCTTTTCAACACAGTATTGTACATCAGTATTCCCGTAATTCCTATAGTGATTCCTTACATTCAGTCGAACCCGATGTGACCGAGCCATGATCAGCATTTCCGTTCCGCGACGCGTAAAATGTGCGAGGAAAAAAAAAAGAAGAAGGAAATATCGCGAGCCTGACGGCGCAAAAGGTTACACGCCATTACACGGGTTAGGAATAAGGTCTCGCCGACCTTCGGCGGGTCGAGGCGTGCGTCTGATTATTTGGGTTTTTATGCCGCGTGGCAGCAGGTACCATGTCCATGAATTCGCCGAGCGGTTCCGGGCGGCGGAAGTCGGCGTTCGGGCGCCGCATAAACGAGAGCAACGGGCTGCGCCTGTCTTGCGGAGCCGGGTCGCCGGTATCAGTCCACCGACGGCGTCGGGCCGTGTTGCGACGTCGGACCAACGGCTTGGCTCTCTCGCGTTGCCCCATCATCTCATTTCGCTCCTGTCATCAACATTTCTGATTCCGTTCGGACGAGTCACACGATTCCGTGCTTCTTTAATGCCGCATACTGCTGTGTTCATTGGGACAAATGGGTAAAATCGTGTGTGCAGTGAGACCCCCACAGCACGCGGACATCTCGACGTGCGGACGATTCCACTTACGGGCGCTTATTTTTTAAGGAAGAAGGCCCGCAATTCTGACACTGACTCGAGATGTGGACAGTGCATGCTAAAATAGCCAAGTTTCAGAAAAAAAGTGACATTTATCGGGAGGAATGACAAGAAAAAGATATTTCCAACCCATAGAGGTACAAGGCCTATTTGAGAATACTTAATTGGCATTGCTGTCGTCATTTTTACATCCATTTGGCTAATGTTCCCAAATGTTATTATTTGAGTTGAAAGATATAGAGTGAATCATTTGTCATTGGCAGACACATTTGTTTTTTTTTCATGGAATTCTGCAGAATATTTCTTCAGCATAACAAGGATGAAAAATTCTATGATGTAAGTTTAATGAAAAATGTGACTCACCATACGGACATTTTAACATGCACGAATTACGTCCGCATCTTGGGGTCCCACTTTTCCAACATCCAAAGATAAATTTTTCATCTCTTCGGGCCGTTTAACCATGATTCTCCAAATGTAGAGACCCTGGGTTTTATATCCATGTGATTATTATATTATCTATTCCTAATGCTAAATCGAATCCGATTTCGTAGTAAACTGAACGCTGCATCAAAACGGATGAAAGACGGAATTTCTTGTGCTGTATTCCACAATTACAGTACTGTATCACATATCGCGTTACGTGATGATTTAATTTTCCTAAGATCATATTTTTCTCGTACCCAACCTATTCGATGAACAAGAGAGGCGAATAATTTTTCACCACAAACATAGCGGGAAAACATTTTTCGAGATTTTTTTTTCACGTCGCCAAAGCATTTCCATTAAAAATCATAATGGATTATGCGAAAGGAATTATCCTCCGGAAATTCATTTGAAGATGCTGTATAACGGATGTGTGTTTTATAAAAACCACTTCTAAAACTTCTTTGAATCGCAAGAGTTTTCTATAAAAAAAAAAGAACTTCTGTGCTTAAAACTATCATAATGGACTCATACATTTGAGAATTGATCATTTCCGCCGAGAAGCATTCCATTCTATTGTATTCCTATGAAAATGTTTCATCCAACGAATTTTTCAAAGAGTATTTGGAGCGAATGAAAATGAAAGTAAAATTTTTTAATAAGCTTGTGTGAATGCCACACGACGATGTTACCTTCACCTGAACGTGGATCACTTCTCAGAATCCTTTCAAACACAGGATCTGTAAGAGTCCTAAGAAAAGCTACCACATCTGTATCATTGAATGGTGAAATGAACAGGACCCGGATCTTCATTACTGTTCCCCTTTTTGTCTCNCTTGCGGAGCCGGGTCGCCGGTATCAGTCCACCGACGGCGTCGGGCCGTGTTGCGACGTCGGACCAACGGCTTGGCTCTCTCGCGTTGCCCCATCATCTCATTTCGCTCCTGTCATCAACATTTCTGATTCCGTTCGGACGAGTCACACGATTCCGTGCTTCTTTAATGCCTCATACTGCTGTGTTCATTGGGACAAATGGGTAAAATCATGTGTGCAGTGAGACCCCCACAGCATGCGGACATCTCGACGTGCGGACGATACCACATACGGGCGCTTATTTTTTAAGAAAGAAGGCCCGAAATTCGGACGCTGACTCGAGATGTGGACAGTGCATGCTAAAATAGCCAAGTTTCAGAAAAAAGTGACATTTATCGGGAGGAATGACAAGAAACAGATATTTCCAACCCATAGAGGTACAAGGCCTATTTGAGAATACTTAATTGGCATTGCTGTCGTCATTTTTACATCCATTTGGCTAATGTTCCCAAATGTTATTATTTGAGTTGAAAGATAAAGAGTGAAATCATTTGTCATTGGCAGACACATTTGTTTTTTTTTCATGGAATTCTTCAGAATATTTCTTCAGCATAACAAGGATGAAAAATTCTATGATGTAAGTTTAATGAAAAATGTGACTCACCATACGGACATTTTAACATGCACGAATTACGTCCGCATCTTGGGGTCCCACTTTTCCAACATCCGAAGATAAATTTTTCATCTCTTCGGGCCGTTTAACCATGATTCTCCAAATGTAGAGACCCTGGGTTTTATATCCATGTGATTATTATATTATCTATTCCTAATGCTAAATCGAATCCGATTTCGTAGTAAACTGAACGCTGCATCAAAACGGATGAAAGACGGAATTTCTTGTGCTGTATTCCACAATTACAGTACTGTATCACATATCGCGTTACGTGATGATTTAATTTTCCTAAGATCATATTTTTCTCGTACCCAACCTATTCGATGAACAAGAGAGGCGAATAATTTTTCACCACAAACATAGCGGGAAAACATTTTTCGAGATTTTTTTTTCACGTCGCCAAAGCATTTCCATTAAAAATCATAATGGATTATGCGAAAGGAATTATCCTCCGGAAATTCATTTGAAGATGCTGTATAACGGATGTGTGTTTTATAAAAACCACTTCTAAAACTTCTTTGAATCGCAAGAGTTTTCTATAAAAAAAAAAGAACTTCTGTGCTTAAAACTATCATAATGGACTCATACATTTGAGAATTGATCATTTCCGCCGAGAAGCATTCCATTCTATTGTATTCCTATGAAAATGTTTCATCCAACGAATTTTTCAAAGAGTATTTGGAGCGAATGAAAATGAAAGTAAAATTTTTTAATAAGCTTGTGTGAATGCCACACGACGATGTTACCTTCACCTGAACGTGGATCACTTCTCAGAATCCTTTCAAACACAGGATCTGTAAGAGTCCTAAGAAAAGCTACCACATCTGTATCATTGAATGGTGAAATGAACAGGACCCGGATCTTCATTACTGTTCCCCTTTTTGTCTCCATCTATGCCTTCTACGGGATACTGTGCAGTACTCTGTTTAATGCTTCATCAGCCGCGTGCTTCTTCCTGCAGCCTTAATTGTTGACTGAGGGTCAGGTGAATCCGAGGAAGGCGAATGTTGCTCCTCACATCAAATAACAGATCTGATGTGTGCCATTACCGGAAACGAGAGACTGACTCTGTACAATATTCATATTGTGTGCCAATTCTTCTTTTTTTCGTTTCTTTCGGGTCGGGCTGGTTGTCGGTGTTTGATGACGACGGCGTTCTTTGTATCGGCAGATTGACGAGCCCTGAGATTCCGTCGGGTGGACTCGGGTTTCTTCATCAGAGAACCCAGTCGATGGACTCAGTGAGTTCGGGCCACAGCTCCACTCCGTCCAACGGAGTGGCTCATCCCTCGTCCGGCATGGCTTTGTCCGCTTCCTACGCCGACTTCTACTCCAAGCGACGCGTCACTGTCAAGCCTCTGGCGGACCCGGACGACGAAGAGGAATCTTCTTACAAGTGAGGCCCTTTCGGAACCCCATTGGGTCCTTTATTATTTTATTCATTTGGTTTGTCCGTGTGTCGGGAAATACCCGGAATCTACCGTATTCTTCCGATTGCTGCCCGCGTGCGAGTTCAGATCGCATCCTAGTTTTGACTGGGCATTGCATGAAAAGAAAAACTGCTGGAGCCGCAAAAAATTCGGAATTCATGAGCAAAAGCTGGGGATTTCACGAGTTAAGGTCTCCCAAGGTTCCGAAATTTACGAACAATTATAGATCAAGACAGTATAATTTCGTTATAGGAGCAATCGCTAAAAACGAAGTCGTTTTTCATGTCTCTGTCCAGCGGTAGCCACCATGTTCAGTGAGTTACTGCATAACGGAATTTTGTCAGAACGAAGCTATTCTTCTGGTCCCAATGGCTTCGTAGTAACGAGATTTTATCAGTGCATTTTTGTCGGATAGGAATAACGCGCGGTAATATGGTTACATTTTATTGATGTAAAATTGGCGAGGGTAGAGGAAATTTTTTGTTGCTCTTTTCCTGCGATTTTTCGGCAATCTCGATTAGAGGCATCACTCGAGAGAAAAAGGTGTGACCTTTAAATAGTATGAATTACTCAAATTTCTAAAGTGCGGTGCGTGTGCTGCTAATTTTTTTTTTTTATCTCAGACACCACATAAAATTGTTCCGCATAAATTGTCAGTCAGAGAGACAATTGCCAATTGTGTCTGTTACCGTAACAGACACTAATTTGGTTCTTCGGCTAGTTTCTGTAGTTGCAGTTGGTTAGTTTGTTTCTCCGGCTAGTCAAGGATAGTTTGTTTCTCCAAATTTTATTGGATGTCGTTTTTCTTTTTCTGGGTGTTTAGGCTTGTGTCACCTGAGTAATTTGTGGGTGGCGTCCTTCACGTAGAGCAATTTCGGGAACCGGGGTTCCATTTTTATCTAACCAATTTCTAGAGGTCTTTCTAGTGGTTTTAATGCCGTAAGATGAATCTCTGTCATTTCTATACAGTAAGTGTCATTTGGCCTCCTTACGCATGTTCAAGCATGCAATGCAGTACTTTTAAGCACAATTTAACTTCATTTGCAAAGTTTCCCTGTGGCCACTATCTGCTTACGAGACCGAGTTATTTATTATGCTGGCTTTTCTTCAGAATGTGAATCCATTTGCTGTGTGACGTCATACTACTGTATGAAGCATATCCTTAAAATTCTAAATTCGAAACAGAAAAACTCGAAATGAATTGCATTCACGGATTCTAGGGGGTAAAGGGCTATTAATGATGCATGATAAACATAAACTTCTGTAGTTTCTGATAGCATTAAATGCTTCTCTTGTACATTCGAATTTACAAGAAAAATGTTTGAATTTAAAATTTTCAAGAGAGGCCGTCTGACTTTCTTTGCGTGTGTGAGTTAATTGATGGATTTTTTGAATCCTGAAGGAATGTCCACTTTTTTCGATTTTGATAGACTTCGTCGCACTGCTGCACTTGAAATGAATTGTATTCATTATTTATTTTACTAGAACGATTATTTTCTTTTCATTTCCGCTATAAGGAGAATTGGGATATGTTCGGTGCTCGCGTGTGTGGCATCTCAATGACAGAAGATTTTTTTTTTTTACCTAGAACCTATCCCTGTCGTAAATTCGTGTGCCAGCCTCGCGAAATCAGAGAAGATCGTGGGTACGGCTGGTGATTCACCAGATCACCACCGGAGTGCGAAACGTAGCATTTACCTACCCCCATGTCCCCGATTTCTCCACTTGGAGTGTCTCGCATGTGTCTCGAGAAGTCTTGACGAGGGCTCGTTGGTCATTATCTCATCAAATCTGATCCCACGTTCCTGTTTTAGAGTTTCTGCGGCAGTTGTTTCCAATATTATTTTCTTCGCCGCAGTCCCCGAAGCGACGGGGAACGGAGTGCCTAATTTAGTTGGAATTCCCCACCGAGAATGATTGAAAATGCTCAACTTGGGCCGTTTTCGTCTGATTGATGCAGCCATTTAAAGAAGATTATCTCAGCTTGAAGTACTGAACTTGGGAAAAATTTGCATGAAACAGCTTCGTAAATTCGCTGGTAAAATTTACTGGAGTTTCTCCGCATCATGCAGTACATTTAATCTATTTTTAATCAAAACAGAACTTTCAGACGCACTGTACATCAAAATTATTTAATGCCTGATATTGAAAAATTGCACGCATTTTAGCGGTATTTTTAAATGCTGTCCCCCGTAGTCACCGGAATTATGCACAGCTTCACTCGAGGCTACCATTATGATAACATACGACACAGTAAACGCTCGTGACATTTGATTTGCTCTGTATGAACTTATATGCTTTTCCAACATCGCAATCAAAACCGGATTATTTTATCCGCTTTGGAAATTTCCAGATTTTTAGATGAAAAGAGATCTGCACACCCAAAAGTGTATTAGGTTTAGCTGCTTGTTCTCCTTCGTTTTTACTTGAAAAGAACAAAATACTCGGGCTTTACGTTGGCTTGAATGCTACAATTCAAATTTTCTTGAAGCGAGTGGAAATGTTCAAGATGAACTAGACTACTAGAGTAATGGACCACTGGAATGCTGTACTGCAAATGCTGTTCGCTGTATCTAACATCTAAATGTTATGGAGCTCTTCATTCCTCTTACCACACATTCGTAGCGTGGGAGTTCCTGGATCTTTCATATTCAAAGAGGAACCGAATGGTTCCGCCTCGGCGATAATTCTTTTCTGCTCATGCATGCCGCATTGAATGCTACAATTCTATCATCAACTTTCCGAGTCAAATCGTTTCAACCATTTCACCACAGCCTGTGTTTTGTGCGCAAATGAGAATTGAAAAGTATCCGAGAATTTGACAAATTTCCAGAGCCGGTTGTGTGGACACACTTGTTGGATCAATCGCACTATGGCGTGAGAAAATTTCTCAGTGCTTGGATTTCGATTTGTTGAAAACTTGGCGATATTGTCGTGTTACAATATTTAATTAGTCCTTGAAAATGTCAACCTGATGTACAATATCAAGTGAAATTTCCTCGCAAAATCGTTTTGTGCTGGTTTTTCCAACCGAATTCATTCGGGAAAGTCTTTTTACCAATCATATTCATCTCTGGTGGAGTTTCTAAAATTTGCTGCGTGTCTTCAAATTATACTTGAGGTCTTGGCAAATTCTAGCTTACCAATTTGCATGCCTTCATTTTGGCTTAAGGACGTAGTACGTTGCCTTTCGCTACTTTTCATAGGTGTGGATTTTCTAAATTGAAATTCATTTACTAATTTCGTATTGTTTTCGTTTGGGAAATATATTGATAGCACGGAGAGCTCCGCGAAGTTTAGGTTTTTAACCATTTGATTAGTTCAAGTTTTTCTTTTCGTGCTGATTATAAGATTCTTCTTTGTTCTAATTTTCTAGAAGCGAGTGGAAATGTTCAAGATGAAATAGAGTAATGGGCCACTGGAATACTGTACTGCAAATCAGAGTGTATTGCTGTTTTTCGGTCAATCTGATCGACTTTTCTTCTGTATATACTGTGCTCAATCCGTCCGTTTTCGTGGAAACGTCAGAATGCATAATAATTTTTCGAAATTCCGCGAGTAGTTCAGGACTTTCGTGTCAACCTCGCTAGGGTGCACATACGAGGTATTTCGGTTATGCATTTCAACAATTTTTAATGAATCTCAGGTTCCCGAATGTTCCAGATTTCATTTGTTCTCATCCTCACCCAGAAGTATAAGAGTGAGGTTTTATAAAACAGCCACGAAAGTTGATTGCGCATTTTTTTTCTTCATGTTTTCAACCTTATGAGCCGCTCTTACATGTGGCCTCGCAGCATTTGCTCTGCTCTCGTTGACTGAGGTTAAAGGACAAACCTCACTGGTTCCGTCTATTTGTCTTATTCATCCGAAGAAGCGTTGTTAACGGGTGATTCGGCCCGGTCACGAACGCGAAAATCCCTGCGGAGAGACGTCTAGGCTAATTGCTCCCAAGTCCCAACTAAGAAGAGCAGTTCGATCGACGAGGCTTAAAATCGAATGGGACCGAAACGCGGCTCATTGCCCGCTTCATGCAGTGGCGACAATAAGGTTACATGCTGGGTCACAATAGATCTTTGTGGAGCTCGGCGCAAACAGACTACGACATGAATCGGTTCAAGCGCCCGGATTCATTGTCGGAATCCCCCCTATTTAGCTGTGAATCGAAGACGTTGCAAAACAAAACGAAAAATTTCAAGTTTACTTTTTTAACGATGTTGCAATTTTTTTTTGCATCGGTGGTTTGAAATGTGGTTCAACAAAGACAATTCGTTGGAACCGGGGAAGTGCATCGACAACTTTCCCGAATTTGAGTCCGTTCAAGTGTTCACGTGTTTATTAGAAACAACCTAGCGCAGTGTTCACAACCTTTTTAGACCCGCGGACCGACAAAATTTCTTTAAAAATTTTCACAAACCGGAAAATTCCCAAAAACATTTATGCGGACCGGCAAAGTTTCATAAAATTTTGAGGACTCACAAAATATATGCTTCAAAGACTTTATGGCAGGTATATAAAAAAGTTTCCGATTTTTGCAAAAATTGAGTTAAGCACCAATGAAGCAACTATATAGCTGAATGTCATCAAAAATTAGAAAGGTGGGCTTGAAGAAAGGTTCCTCAGAATGAAAAAAACTTGAAATTACCTGTATTTATTCCAGCAGGTGAAAATTCGTCTGAGGTGTTGAGAGGAAAGAACATTTTTTTCCTCAGATAATTTCAACTGCCCTTGTCCTTCCAAAAGTTTAGGTAAAGATAATAGAAATTCCTCCCACTTTTGATACGTGTATTATGCTGAAAATGTTCCGCGGACTGGCAAAAAACTTCTGCGGACCGGCGACGGTCCGCGGACCACGGGCTGGGTAACACTGACCTAGCTTATTCCCGCTCCTGTACGCCGAAGAGCATTTAGGGAATTTATTATAATGATTTTTAAAAAAAGGTACGCAGTTCGCAAAAATACAGAGGAATGCTTTTGAAAATGCAACTGATACGCATATACAGAATACTTCAATTTCCTCATTGAAAGTCAAGAAAATTTAGAAAAAAAAGTTTTTGGGTACCAATGATTGAAACCCGTCAAGGAATTGCTTAATCCGAAATGAGGCAGAGCTGTATGAGGTAGTTTTTAATTTTCTTGCAGACTTGAGATTATTTTGAGTGTGCGCTGCATATAGGTGAGACGACTTTGCCGCCTTTGCTCAAATATCTCCATTTTCAAAAGATTTTTTTGCAAAAATAAAAAATAAAAAGCGCGACTTCGACACCTACAAATACAATATTTTTCAGTGCTCAAAAAGTCCTGAATTTCTTTGGGGATTTCATCTTTAGAGTAATACTTTTCAGGGTATCAGTACGGATACCTTTCCAATGTTTAATTCACACGGAAACTTTTGAGTCAAGGACACAGTCGAGTGTGTGAAAGTATTTCCCAACAAGCGTTCTAAAGCAATCTACCGAATGAACAGTTTTGACAGCAAGTGAGAACGTGACACTTCACCCGATAATCGATCACGGGTAAATTGCATCATGAATATATTTGAGCATGAGGTCGTTTGGGCATCGAGGGTTTTTGCCTCAAAGTACACGACAGTTCGGCGTCTGAAATTGGATATTTCGACCTGCAAAAATACTTCAACATTCAAAATTCCATGCGTCAAAATTCAAAAAACTGTACGTCAACATTTAAAATACTCTACGTTAATAATCGAAATATTGTACGCCAACATTCAAAATACTCTACGGCAACATTGGAAATAAATCAGCATTCATGATACTTCNACTGTACGTCAACATTTAAAATACTCTACGTTAATAATCGAAATATTGTACGCCAACATTCAAAATACTCTACGGCAACATTGGAAATAAATCAGCATTCATGATACTTCTGCTTTTGAAAGAAGTCGCCATGTTCTGAAGTAATGTCAGAAATACAAAGGCACCGTACTGTATACTGTATATTACTCTGGTCATTGGATGGCTTTTCTTGAACAATCAAATTCCTACCGAATGACTTGTCGAAACCTTGTTTGGTTGATATCTTGAATGGGGTCATCTAAAAAATTTCGCGGTGGCACGCGCTAGCATTTCTTTGAAAGCTGCTCAGTTCCGTGCTACAGTATTATCGAATTGCTGACGCCCAAAGGAATTCCCACTTGGAACGGAATGACGTAAAAAAAAGAATTCCTCGTTAACGTGATTTATAATTTTCAAATGCGAAAAACCGAACTCTGCGATTGTTAGAGCAGCGCACGCACTGAAGCGAAAATTTAACTCCTTGCACGCGGTGCTTTTCGTGGACCCCGCTAGAAAAGCTGTAAATGTCGGAGTCCTTTTCTCGACGATTTGTTCCATTTCGCCGTTTTTTTATTTTCTGTGAGACGTTGAAAAGTCATTCCTTTTTTTCCTACAGGCCTCTGAAAGAGACTCCAATGGAAAGAGAGATTCGATTGGCTCGAGAACGTGAGGAAGAACTGCGCCGAATCCGCTCGTTTCAGGCGTCGTTTCAGAACGCTCCGAAGCAAGAAGCATCGCCGGTAATCGGCGACCCGCAGACCAAGCAAATTGAACAGGAGAAGGTGTCTCCCGTGCTTTCGTGGGATTTATCCGGAAAAACTGAAGTGGTGAGTGAATCTGCATATTGTCCTCGATCCCGGATGGGTTCGAAAGCTGGCTGTGGTCAGCGTAGGTGCAAAGCAGGAACTTTGAAACGCTCGGATAGCAGCGGCTTTGCCAAAACAAAAACAAAAACCTTCCGCTTCCTCAGTTCGACCTAAATGCCCGTGCAACGCATTCGGTTTTGCATGCAGGTCCGAAATTTTGATTTGAAGAAAAAAAAACGCGCCTCTTTCCAATGATCATTGTGGCATATGGATGCTAGCTCAATTGCCCTTTAAATTGCGAAATTGGGAAGTAAACGTTGAGCCATTTTCGAAGGGAAAGTGAACCGCAAAAGGGAGTGAATCTCTGCGCCGAACCTAACCACTACACCGCCTGCAAATTAGCTCTGAATGGGGAATTTCCCTAAACGTGGGACTTCGTTACGCGTTGTGAACCTTGCATGACCCGCGCCCGGGAAGTTGGGTACAGTATGTCCTTCAAGCCGCAGTAAGATGACTACCTATTTATTATAACACCATGACGCGATGGTGCTTCGTCAAAATACTCCAGTATAGTTTATTCCGCAAGCCTTTTTTCGCAGAACCGATTGCGTAATCCGTTTATCGATGGGCGAAAACCGTTTCACGGAACGGCACTAATGTATATTACAGTAATTGTTTCATTGCTCAACGCAATTTTCTCTGATATTCGACGCGGTCTACTGGAACTCTCTTTATTTTTTTAGACTCGGGAATGAGAACAATTCCGCCCGCAAAAATGTAAGAAGTCCTTCATGGCAATTGATTTCTTCAGATGCTTGTGTTCATTTTACTCATGCTTTCCTCACCCGCCCGGTCCTCAAACTCTTCATTTAGAAATAAAAATCTAACTTTTTTTCGTGTAATTGAGAACAGTAGTAGGGATTCGTTGAATTGAATCTCTAACTTGATTATGATTTTTTTAAAGCTAGTTGAGGCCCTCTATCTGCAGATTGCAAATGATTGATGTTGGACGCATTCGAAGAGGAGGAATTCCCTAATTTTTAAAGCAACATTTCGTTGGTGAAGTACGTCTCATTTTTGAGTAAATGCTAGGCTACCATATCCTGCATTATTTCACTGTATTTTTCAAGCCAGCATGCATGAAATAACATGTTACGATAGGTTTCGATTTTCTCACCACAAGCGTTTTCAGCAGCCATTCTTTTCTTCCGAAGAATTTCAATCGCATAAATTATTCATAGCGAGAGTCTGATTATCCGGGTAAATGGTCGGTAAACCACCGATATAAACCGAAATCCCGAAAAAATCGAATACTGCATTGAAAAATATTCACCGCATGACAAAATTCGAGGAATGACGTTACCAAATGTAATCTGAATTTCTGAAATTCTCAATTAGTTAGTCCAGACAATTACAGTAGTTAATAAAAAGGCGAATGAAGCCATTAGATTGAAAATTGCAGAATGACGTAAACAGACCGCTTTGTCTCCTACTCATTCAATCAAAATGTGGGTCCGTTTAATCAAAACTGAACTGTCGTAGTGTCCAAAACCAACGGGGATGCTTTACAATATGAATGCATCGCAATCGTCGCATAATTTGTGTTTAAATGCTGTATAGCAGTACCGGAATTAGCAAACTTAATTCCACGTGAAGTTCAATTCCACCGGAAGCTTATTCTGAACCTTTGCATTCTGTTCCAACCTTTCCATGAAATGGCGTATTCCAGCGTGATAAAAAAAAACACATTTTCGCTTTTTCAACGCGTCTCTTTCACTACTAAGAAAAACTGTTTGGGGATAAAATTTTCCGGAATAAAATTTGCATTATGTTACTTTGCAGATATAAAACTCGGGGTTCGGGAAACCTCGCCGCTTTCACTTCGACGTTCGAAGAAACGAAATTAAAATTTCATTTGGTAACGAATTGTCATTTTGCCATTATCAAAGTCTCGATACGATCACTATGTTGGAATGCTCCTTATGATATAGGATATACGATAGTTTCATGTGCTGGGTATAGTGTCGACTTTACAAATACTGATCAATTTGTGCAGGATCCAATTCCCGTCGATCACTGTTACGGAGAAAATGATAAATTCAATTTCATGGATCCTTTCATGGCATTAGCAAGTTTGCGATGAGAATTTCATCCAGGAATCGTCCGCTCTTCTGTCGCAAGAAAATGTAACAATGTTAGAAATGTTTCCTTTCAACCTAGCGACGAAATGGGCAAATTTTCGAAGAAGTCTTCTAATGATGAGAAAGTGCCGTTCAATTCGCCTAACTCTAAGGTAATTGTGGTAATGTCTCCATGGGATTTACACCGGATGAGAACTATCGTGAAACGCCGTAAAATTTAATTGTCACTTTCTCGCGAAAAGCGTTTCATGCTGCCAAGGAGAGTCGTGGAACTCGAATAAGCTTTTGTTGGCAGAAATTATGAATGATGATATCGGTTCTTTCCGTGCGAGCGTCGGGAATTTTTCTCCTCCACACCCCGAGATGTTCAGTGTTTGCAGTTAGTTCATAGTAGGGATGTTGAGTCGGAAAATTCTCACGGACGAACAACTGCGTAACTCCCTGGAACTGGCGAAATTTTTTCGAATGTATAAAGTATTCAATTTAGGCTGCGAATTCTTTGTTGAAAGGCGCAGTCAATTTGCTGATACAGTAATTGTTCGTGTGTACGCGTCTGATATTTTCCAGAATGTTCAACAAGAATCCGCCTCTATTAGGCATTCGATTGTTTTCAATGGATTTCCACCTAGAATGATGATTGCGGAAAATCATTTTTCATAACGCAAAAACAATGTAGCCTAAGTAGTCTTCAGAATGTTATTCGCATACCAAAGTCATCATGCCGTTCTTCAAAACATCAGGCTTGGCGTTTCTTCGTTTTCGTGCAGTCTTTCGCATGGTTTTATTTCTTGTCCATTTATGGACTTTGTAAACGCTATTCGACCCAAGTATTTTAGAACCCGACCAGCCAGCCCTTGAATCCTCTTTACAGTACCGTTGGGGCGCCACCCAGAAAATCCCTGACCACCCAGCCTAAGCATTTTGGGATCTCTCGAAACGGACGGCAGCTTTCCATAAATGTTGGCGCCGAATGGATTTTTGGAACTCTTTGAATTTTAAAGATTAATTTTCTTCTCGAAAAACAAAGAGAATGATACCAAATTGCATAGGTTTAGAAAAATCATTTGACGTGAAAAAATAAGATCAATCGGACAGTGGAAGGTCACGTTCATGTGCTAAACTTAGATATCGTATTAAAGATCTTAAATTAAGTTCATTAAGTATAGCGAATGTTAAATTGTATAAGGCAAATGACCCCACGAAACACTGCGACGGATTCTCTTCCTGATTTTTTTCAGTAACTTTTCTTCAGTTGCCTGGTAGTAACTGAGAAGTTTGTCTTATGGCGTTCTAGAATACAATTTTTCTTGCTCAAACCGTACTTGAACCTTGGTTTTTCTGACGAATGAAAGTATTTAAAATAAATACAGATAAATATGTTTTTCAATCTATGGCGATGATGTAAAATTTTTCGCGATATCCTGAAAACTGCAGGTTTAGAAATCATCCGTTTTCGATCGTATACTCGCATACTAGCAACCAGGAATCATTCGTAGCAGTTCATCCCTGTGCGCGAACGCTCGGGGCGGTTTGTGGACGCTTGAAGCAAAGTAATTAAGCAATGCGTTATATTTTTCCTCGTTTAAAGTACCTTTTGAGGTCGGGTCAGCATTTAAGCATTCAAATACCACCTCAATAGGCGGTTTTGATGGTCTCATTACGAGACGAACTACCATCTAATGGCTAGTATTTTGGTTTCACCGGTCGACGCCCTTGCGGACGCTATTGCCCCGCAAGCCGATTATTTACACTGTCTAATTGCCGTGCTGGCTAATGTTAATTTGACCGACTATTCGTTTCCTGTCTATCCCAACGAATTCCTGAGATACGAGCAGAACCTAATTCCTAGATTCGTGAGTCTATTCATGCGGTAATGTCGGGCTCGCGAATATGTACTATAGTAAATTAAACGCTAACTTCCTTGCACCTGAAAGCATAATTTGTTCATGCTAAGCTTGACGCTTCCTTGTACACATTTAATTTTTTTTCTTCGATTTAAGGCGCAGTTACGAGAACATTTCCTAAAATAAAAATGCCTTCCAACTTCGATATATTGGCGGAATTCTGATTTAAACCTTCAATTCCGCCAGAAAACGCTAGCCACTACAAGGATCCAACAAGAGATAGCCGAACAAGAAGAACGAGAAAAATCATTGCTCATCCACCACTTGGACAATAAGGTCATCGACATTGCAAAACCTCAGCCAGAGGTAAGCAAATAGTTTTTCATTTGCGCTTGTCCCTGTTCGCTAAAAAAAAAAACAGTCCGTGAAACTCATTTTCGCATCCCGATCGAGCTCCCGTTGAGATGTTGACCAGAATGTTTCGAAATTTTGGTCAAAGGTTTGTGCCTCAGGCAGCATAACTTATATTATCCTGTGAATCGCGAATTCCAACTCTTACGGACATTTAAGAATCACTTTTTTGGAATCACATCCACGCGAATATAACACGCAGTCCATTTTTAGGTGTTCCGATATTTCCCTGCACCTAGGAGAGAAAATTTTGTTCTGGAGAATAAATTAGCCATTCTATTCTAGTCAAGAATAGAATATCGCATGCGAAATATTACAGGTACCTCGGAAATGCTATACCCTGGGTGGACCAAAAAAATCACGAATTTTAAATGGATATTACTCCAACAAAGAATAGGGCATTGTATTTGTAAGAAAAAAACTAAATTTACCTGAACTGACTTTGCAAACAATATCTTCAGTTCCGGAAACTTTTGAATTTCTCTTCGAAAGAAAATTTGTTGGATGCTTTCCCGTATTTTTTCCATGCATTTTCAGTTTTTTGCATTCAGTTCGTATCATGATTGGGGGTGGGAAGATGTTCAATGATAAGTAAATGACGTTGGATGAAGCCTTTGCCTTTGGAATAGGGCGAAATTTTTGTCTTACCCCGCAAAACTTGAATTTTTGCATGCTACTGCAAGTTGCCGACGAGGCACCGATTCAAGACACACCATGAGTTACTGGGAGTCGAAATCGAAAGGATGGCGTTTTATGATCGCATGCATTCGGAACACGGAATAAAATTGAGATTGAAGTTTTCTTCGAAGGAAGCAGAACACAAGTGAATGGATTTTGAAATCACCAGGTACTTCCCGTGGTGATGAAGGAGCCGTTGCAGAGAAGCGTTTCTGCCGAGAAGGAAGTGAAAACCCCGACGATGTTCAAACCGAACCCGAATGCAGGTGCGGGCGTGAACCGTGGGAACAGGCGCCTGACTGGGTACGCTGGACTGCACAAGTTGATGAATCCGGCTGGTTCCTTGGTCGGGAACTCCGTTGGCTCGAACAACACCAAGGGCCTAATGGAGAAATTCCTGGCTTCCAGAGGAAAAATGACCAACGTAATGCCGACGTTCAACAAGTCCGTGGATCCATCTATTCGAACGTCCAAGCCTCAGCAGCGACCAAGCCCGAAGAAAACTGTAAGAAAATCTAAAATAACGTATCGCGTTTGTCAAAAGATGAATTAAATTACGAAAAAGATCCGACTGTATTGAAGAATACATTTTAGGAGGCTTTCATTGATCATTTTTTCTATTCACGTACGGAAGCTTTCCATCTTCATGACGGAAAACGTTAAAATATCGTATTTTTACGAAGATGAACAAGGCAATAAACCACGAAACCGGACATTTTACCCAAAAAGTAATGAAGTTTCGCGCTGTAAGAAGATGAATTGGGAAATAATAGTAAAACTGTGTTCTTTTGAGGCATCATGGAATCGCAGAAGTATTCTTACTCGGGGTGATCCTGAACGGCAGCCGCAATTTTCGATATTCTTCATTCTGAATGGTTGAAGTAAAACCTAAAACCTGAATCAATAAACGAAGTAGTGCCGATCACTCTACTGTATTTACATAACTTGATTACAGGTGAAACTCAGAATAGACTATCAGTTTCAAGTAGATTTCTGAGTAAGGTTTCGATTATAAAGTATGCTTTGAACCAGGGCAACTTGAAACGGAGAGAAATAACCACGAAGTTCTTCGTTAGGTACCTGTACTGTATTGTACAATGAAACGAATCCGATTCATGGGCTCCGTTGAAGCGTCTTTTATCTTCGTATGTTAACTACGTTTTCTTTCATGCTTGACACAGTTTATGGCCTTTTTTGCATTCCGAAGCGAGGCTCCCCTAATGCTTGAAAGCCCTGTGCCGTGATACGAATAAAAGAACTCATGAACCAATTACCGCATTTATTCAAGTACCACGCGCACCTTTTTCCGAATAATTGGGACAGAAAATTAGGCGCGCGTCCTAGTCGGTTATAATATTTCGAGTTACGCTTTTTTCATTTAAACCTTTTTAATTATCGAAAGTTTTTTCAGAGTTCTCTATTTAAATGATACAGTACTTTACTGCAATTTGTATGGAAAAAATTCGCAAATGAATTTGATTTTTGAATGGACTTGAATTTATATGTTTACCGAGCACAGTGCAAGTACGGTCGGAATTTTTTATAACCGAAAACTAAGGTGCGCCGCTTATATGCGAGGATAAGATTTTACGCAACATTTTTGCTAAAAATCTAAAATGTGTGTCTTACTTGAAGTCGCGGGGTATTCGAGTAAATACGGTATGCCCTTTCTCAAAGGCTCTCGTTCTGTGGTTTATCATAACCATCCGTTTTAATTTTTCGCATTCGAGGAGTCGCCGATGCAGACGATCGCCACAGCAGTGAAGGCAGAGGATGGGGCGCCAACGTCCCGTCGGCAGATCAGCGGCGCCGCGAAGCAGATCATGCGCCGGACGTACGCCACCGCTGAAGAAAAAATCCAGCTGGAGCTCCAAGAGATGAAGCAGCGCGAAAAGGAACTCAGGTACGTGTCAACACCGCTGCTATGTGTGATCTGCACGCAAAGCGTCAGCGGCGGTCACAGGGGGTGCCTTCCAAAAAAAAAAAAAAAAAAAAAAAAAAA